TGATGGCCCCCTTTCACTTGCACTGACTGCTCTTTAAACTACATACTGAAAGTTCCCATGAACAGCTACCAAATGCATTCTGAACACTTGGAATCAACTCCAAACCTTTATGTTTCAATAGTATGTTATGTAATAATGAGGGAACTGGCCACACCTGGCCATGAAACTGCTTATCAGTCCAATTGCTTTAGTGGTCAAATAAATGGAGGGACTACATAAAAATGGCTGTAATTCTTAAACAGTTAATGTGGTATTTTTGTTAAACCCCTTGAATTATAGCTGAAAGTCTACACTTCAATCACATCTTGACTGCTTCATTTCAAACCCATTGTGGTGGTGTACAGAGGCAAAATTACAAACATTGTCATTGTGCAAATACTTATGGACCCAACTGTTTAGTCCTTAATGCTTCCTTTGTAAAACATCCAAACTCCTTTGCAAAATCTAGCTCAGATATTTCTCTGCAATTTTGATTTCTATTGTGTTTCCCAGTGTCTGATTTCCTATTTTTTTTTTTTTTCTTTTTCGTTTTGTAATTAGTTTGTATTTCCACACTCTTGTGTTTTCCTTGTAGTTTCTGGTTTTTTAACCACTTCAGGATCTCTTTTGTTTTCATATTTGAATATTCCACAGTGACCCTGACCACTACTATGGACTTTGACCACAATTGCTAGATTAAATCGAATAAAATGGTTCAGCGCTTCCATCTGACACTCTTGAAAATAAAAGGGTTTTTGAAGTGATGCCATAGAAGTATCCGTGCTTCCCTCAAGTACCCCTCAAAGGATGGTTCTGTAAAGAGCCATTTTAATAAAAGTGATGTGAGTGAAGAACTTTAAAAAAGTTTAAACCTTGACAGAATGCAAAGGATCTATAGCAATTAAAGTTTTTTCCTAGGAAGCTTCATTTTTGAAAGTATACTTGGGCTTTTCTTTAACACTTAACAACACTTTGCTGTCATACAAGTCCCTAATTGAGGCTTTAATGAACTAACCTCACCAAGCAATCATACCTATCGTCGCTTTCAAAACACAGAACAAAACAAAAAAGGAAGTATCTCCGAAATGGTAACTTTTTAGGAGAAAGCAAAAACATTATTTCTTTCAATGTCAGTCAATGCAAAGAGTTTTTGCTATGTCATTTTGTACCACTTCTCCTGGTCCAGACATCATCACATTTTGACAGAATGCTGTAGTCAAATGAGGCAAAATAAATAAATATATAAAAAATATATAAAAAAGATTTTTTTGTGGACAGTGATGATATATTCTTGTAAAGTCAATTTACAAGTAAAGCCTTAATAACTGAATCACTGAAATCATTTTCCTAAATGGATATGCTGACTGTAAGACTCTAATGCAGCACATGATTTTTGTACCATCACCTTACTCACATACAGCTATGATCTATGAACATTTTAGGAATACCCCACTTCTCAATCAGTGAGAGGGTTATAACTATTAATGCACTGCTGAGCAACTGCTGACTTTTATTTCCCACAATGTAAACCCAAAAGAGAGAATATTGACATTTTTGTTCCAGCTTTGTACACATGAACTCCTCTCCTGCTCTGATATTCAGGTGTTTGAAATTCCGCTAAAGATGTCCATGAAGGTAAAGTGTAAAAGTTCAGGCCAGTGTGGTACACTGTAAATGTGGTGATCTGTATTCACCCCGCCGCTGTTCCAGCATCCCCCTCCCCTCCGCCAACATAACTGTTTAAAATGCTCATGGCTCCACATGCAGACAGAAGCAGCTCCGGCTCCACACTGCCTTGCCTGGAAAGGACTTTTTCTGAATGTAAACGACAGGGGAAACGTCCCAGGAGGCGCTGGGGTGTTTTGCCGTGTCCTTCAGTGCAATCTGCATGCTTCTCTGCCTCACCATCCACTGAAGGACACACTCATGTGCTTGGCCCCCTGATTTGAACCAGTTTATTTTCCCAACACATAGGAGCCAAAGCTCTCAGTCAAAGTCCGACAGCTACTGACTGCAACTGAATACATTTCTCTGGGATTTGTACTTTTACTAGTTATAGCAGTTTACTACTATCTAGTTGATTTACAGTTTGAAAGACATGCACTTTTAAAAATAAAGGTGCCCAAAGGGGTTCTTTGGAGTGATGCCGTAGAGGAACCAGTTTTGGATCTTTCTTTGGATTTTCTGAATCTTTAACTGGATGGTTCTTTTGAGATGTGGGAGTCTGAAGAACACTTTTAAAGTTTAAAGAACCTCCACACCTCCACAAGAGTAATAAATCTAGACTGAAAGGTTGTGGCGCCAGCTCAATAAAATAAATATCTATAGATGTTTAAGGAGGACCTATTATGCTCATTTTTAATGTTAATAATTTTTTGGGGTCTACTAGACCAGATTTACATGCTTCAATGTTCCAAAAGCACATTATTTTTCTTTGTACTGTTCATCTCTATTCACCCTGTCTGAAACGCTCAGAACTCTCGTGTCTTTAAGCCCAGCTTCCCAATGAGCCCAGTGTGCTCTGACTGGTCAGATTGCCCACTCTGCCTTGATTGGTTAGTTGCATTCTGCTACAAGACCCTTCTCCCCTGAGCCGCTGTTAACACCACAGTGGCTATTCTTGAAATGGCATTGGTTCTGCCGTATCAGTTTGAGCCAGAGTCCAAACTTAACAAACTGACCTGAACAAAATCTTTCCGGCCTCTAGTAGTTGCTTGTCGTGTGAGGGCGTGCCAAGCTTGTTGGTAGGCAGGCAAAAAGGATTGCGCTATTGCGGTACAAGATTGCCAACTAGGCGTTTTAAGCAGCTGAGAAAAGTGGTTTCTGTGGGAGAGAGTTACTCCATCGGGCATGTGCTTTAAGCTTTGTAACTTTACAGGCCGATTACACACACAAAAAGCCACAAAACACACTAAAGGAAAGGGAAAAACCAGAAAAACATAACAGGTCCCTGTACCAGTCACCCGACCCACGGGCGCCGACGACGGGTGTGAGAGACAACGAGAGGAGGACATCAGCCGCGAGAGAGAGTAGAAAAACGACGTCAGCCACGAGAGGCGTAAAGGCAGCGCACGAGTCCCGAACTCCGCCGCCCAGGCCCCACCCGCCTCACGTTCGATCCCAGCGGCCAAGCTGGGGAACGGGGGCGGTGACGGGGAGGCGGAGCAACAAATTCTCTTTCCCTCTCCTTCAAAAAGAGGTTGGAGATTGGAGGCCAGGGTTAGAGTTAGAAAATTAAGGTGATCTGAACAGATATTTTGTTGAATAGAAGTTAAATGGAAGCATCTATAATGGCCTATTGCAATAAAATGTTACCAAGATTTTTCCTAGAATCAAGAAATCATTTCAGAACCTTAATTTTTATAAGTGTATGTTTAATTTGTACTATGTAAAAGTAGACATATGCCATGTGTCATATAAATGCTGACCGTTTCATACTCGTCATGAAAAGGACCCATCTTTTCAAAAGCGTCAAGGTTTCCCAAAGTCAGATGAAATTTGTTTTGTATGTGCTCAACTGAAACTGAAAACGTTAAATAAGCCACATAGCTGGTCAGGAAATAGTGACATTAAAGTACTTTAACATTATATATTGTTTTATACACCGATCAGGCATAACGTTATGAGCACCTCCTTGTTTCTACGCTCATTGTCCATTTTATCAGCTCCACTTACTATATAGGTGCACTTTGTAGTTCTACAGTTACAGACTGTAGTCCATCTGTTTCTCTGCATACTTTGTTAGCCCCCTTTTACCCTGTTCTTCAGTGGTCAGGACCCCCATGGACCCTCACAGAGCAGGTACTATTTGAGTGGTGGATCATTAGTAACACTGACGTGGTGGTGTGTTAGTGTGTGTTGTGCTGATCTGAGTGGATCAGACACAGCAGTGCTGCTGGAGTTTTTGAACACCTCAGTGTCACTGCTGGACTGAGAATAGTCCACCAACCAAAAATATCCAGCCAACAGCGTCCTGTGGGCAGCGTCCTGTGACCACTGATGAAGCACTAGAGGATGACCAATACAAACTGTGCAGCAGCAGATGAGCTATCGTCTCTGACTTTACATCTACAAGGTGGACTGACAAGGTAGGAGTGTCTAGTAGAGTGGACAGTGAGTGGACACAGTGTTTAAAAACTCCAGCAGCACTGCTGTGTCTGATCCACTCAGACCAGCACAACACACTAACACACCACCACCACGTCAGTGTTACTGCAGTGCTGAGAATGATCCACCACCCAAATAGTACCTGCTCTGTGAGGGTCCATGGGGGTCCTGACCACCACAACAGGGTAAAAGGGGGCTAACAAAGTATGCAGAGAAACAGATGGACTACAGTCTATAACTGTAGAACTACAAAGTGCACCTATATAGTAAGTGGAGCTGATAAAATGGACAATGAGCATAGAAACAAGGAGGTGGTCATAATGTCATGCCTGATCGGTGTACAATGTATGGCAAAAAGTTTGCAGACACTTGCTCAGCCAACATTTCTTCTGAAATCAGAAGAAATCAGGGTACTAATACATTTACACTACATGCTGGAACATTGCTGTAAGGATCTGATTGCATCAGTCAGATCAACTGATGTTGGGTGATTACTTCTAGATCACAAATCTCTACTACAACTCATCCCAAAGGTACTGGATGGTGCTCCATCACTGCAGAGAACGCAGCTCCTCTGCTCCACAGCCCAATGCTGGGAGGGGGGGATTTATAACCCTGTTGCCGATGCTTGCCACTGGTCACAGTGACCTCCAGAGCATCTGATTCTACTGGTAATGTCTTTCTATAGAGATCATACAAGCAGTGTATCTCAATTTCTCTAAAGACCATTTTTAACTCCTCCCAAGTAGATTTTGTCCCCCTGAAATAGCTGCAGTCTCATTGTGTCCACTTTCAGTACATCATCATTGAGCAAAATGAAGACTTTTTAACATTTCACATTTCAACAGCTGTTTAATGAGGGCAAAGTTGTAGACAGCTGAGTGTAAATTTGATTCAGAGTATTTAAATGTCATGATATTTTATATCTGCATGCAGCAGCAGATTTCTATCAGGCTTCATCGCCTTTGATAATAATTCCCAAGGCTTTCACGGGTGTGGTCTGAATGATGCTCTATCAATTTATCATTAGTTTAATGAACCCCAGAAACCGTCAAATCGTCTACATACTACAATTTCAGCAGTGGTGAATGGACAGTGGGCATGGAAAAGCAAGCACTCATCCTTTTAAAACACTTTTACTTCACTGTCCTTAAAGCTGTGTTTAACTGCGTTTTCAGAGAGAAATACAATTTAACGAACCACAAATGTAATATCATCAATTTCAAACTGCCTTGATTTTTGTCTTTTACACATTTTTCTCAGCATCTTCTCACTAACAACACAACGTTTCCAGATATCTGATGTTAAACAACTATGAAAGGTCCAGTTACAGGTTACCTCCGTTCTTAACGATCCATTATGGTCACAGCAGCTATCTGCAGGGTGTTCCTCAACGATGCCTGAAGAGCGATCATCCACTCATTCCTCTTCCTTCCCGTAAATACTCTAAACCACTGTAAAGGAGTGTCACAGGCCAGCCACATCTGGGAACAGAGACCATCCAGGAAAGTCATGGACGAATTGGGCAATTTAGAGCTGCTTTGCAGGAACTCAACAACACAGGGTCTCAGATCGCCAAGGATTTACAGCACAAACTGAAATGTTCAAATGAGCAGAAACAAGGAAAGAATCACAAAAGAAAAAGTGTCCATAGACCGAATAGAGTTCCTTAGGCTGTCAAATGGCCATGTAAGTCAGTCGATGGTCGATTACTGAAATAGCAGACTCTACTGTAACGCCAGGTTAAAGTTCGTCAGCTCTCGTACGTCCAAGTAAGTTATTTCACCTTTTCATCTTCTTGTGTCCTTGAGACAAAAAATAAAGAAACCAACATGAAATATAATGTTACTGAAATATGAATTCCACTAAACAAAAATGTTTGTTGGAACAAAACCTTGTATCTCCAAAATGGTAACTTTTCAGGACAAGGAAAAAACATGCTTCACTTTCAGTGTAAGTCAATGGAACCAGACTTTTTCCAAGTAATTCTGGGCCATTTCTTTTGGTCTGTTCGTCACGAAATGTACACACAATGTAAAGAACAACAGGCATTTTTAAATTATGTCACAAACTGAAAAACAACAAAAATGGAGATGTTTATATATATATATATATATATATATATATATATATATATATATATATATATATACATACATACAGTACTGTGCAAGTCTTTGGCATTTCAAATTGTTTATCTGGACATCACATATCATTTGAATAATTGAATAATATCTTAAAATATATTTGAATATATTAGAATAATATCTGATCTCTTCTTAACTGGTTAGAAGAACACAGGTTTGCTTAGGGTTCAAATTGAGGGTGAGCTTTGGAGTTTCCAGACATACCATAACAGAGACAAAATTAAACACCAGGGGTCCTGCATTCAACAATAAGTTCCTCCCCCTGGATAAACTGTAAACTCACCCAGACCGAATTCCCAATGTAACCGTACAATCTAGTGCACTGAGACACACTAAAAAGAAAAAAGCTCAAGCACCTGTGAAGCTGCTGAGAAACTTCAGATACTTTTGACTTTAATTCAGCAACAGTTATGAAGACACAGAAAAAAAATTGTTGGTGTTAAAAGCCATGCAGTACCATGCAGCAACAAATACGCTGTTATTTTATGCTATTCGAGACCATGCAATGGGTATTTCATTACAAGCTTACATGCGTTTTTGCATGTACAGGACCCACTAAACCTGTCTGCTGATGACTAAATCTATATTTCTAATCTATTTTTACTGTCAAAGTAATATAAATTTCAGTTAATTAACTGGGAAATAGGTAGGCTATTAGACCCGCTTGCCATGTCTTCTTATCTGCTTGTCAAAACTGCACGTTTTTGAGTTGACACATATAAGATAAAACATACTGGACTGTAAGACTGGCTGAGGTATCAGAGCACTGATGTTTAACTGTACTTCTAGAAGATTTTGCCTTTCTCTGTGTAAATTTGTCATCACTCTGGCTTTCATTTAATGCACTAATGGCAAAAATACTGCACGGCATACAGAGAAATTGAACAGTGCTAAGAGTTGGCAAGTGCTGCCGCACATTAATGCTGGTGGGTGCACCTTCATTAAAAACTATGGTTTAAAATTCTTTGGATGCTGTGTGGCCCAGCATGTGCTGTGCGCGGCCTTAAGTGTATTATATTGATATAGATATTAAGTGAAAAGACTCAGGTGTAGTAATACAACTGGAAAAACTATGGGAGTAAATCTCACATAAATATATTGTAAAAATTGTACACATCAATAGACAGATCACATCATTGTCAGACCCCGAGGCCTGTGCCACAGTTCTAACCCTGGAACCCTGGTTCCAGATTTCTCTGTGATGCTCCCAGTCATCGAATGGATTTGGTAAATTCCGTTAGCAGCACACCTGATTTAACTGAATGAAGTACTGACTAAGCAAACCAGGTGCTGGATGATATCTACAAATAATACCGGGCTTCGTTGAGAAGAGATTTTAAAAAATGGTTAAACAAACACATTACTTTACTTTTGCACAGTACTGAATATTTGCATATAAATAAATAAAAATATAGAAATAGTCCAAAACGACTTGGAATATAGTTATATTAATGTACATTCCTAATTTGGACAAACAAGGTTTTGTTATGACAGCATTATGTAGTATTACAATATAACTACAGACATATGCAAAAATATTATGACACACAATCTTAAAGTCAATATGCTTCAATGTCAGGGTTTTATGTTTATGGTTTAGATATAATGGTTTGGTTAGTTTAATCAGCAAACTAATCATCATTTGAGATAAGCGTACTTTATAAATAACAGCAATAACTGCCTTCATATTCATCAAAGTTGCCTAGTAACTGGGCATGAATTAATAGAGTGCAGAAGGCAAGAATAAACAAACCTTTATTATTAAGTTTTGCACTGGACTGAACCCATTGCTACAAGGATGTGTACGGATGAGTGTTCTGAAAAACACACACAAAAATAGTACACAAATGTTAGGACATAACGTGTAAAGTATGGCATGTTATATATTTATAAATCGCTGCTGTCGGAAGAAAACCTTGTATATCCGTTTTTCGGTATTTTACATAATTTGAAAAAACCCTGTCGTCCTTTACATTGTGTGTAAATTTCATGATGAATGGAGTAAAAGAAACGGCCCAAAATGACTTGGAAAAAAGTCTGGTTCCATTGACTTTCATTAAAAGTAAAGCGTGTTTTTTCCTTCTCCTGTAAAGCTACCATTTTGGAGATACAAGTTTTTTTTTTTTTCCGACAACAGTGATATGATTTATATTCTATATATACACAAGCTAAGGGTATATATATATATACTGTTCAGTTGAATATATTGTTGTAGAAGCAGTATAATAATGACCTGCCAATGGTTTGGTGCGCTCCAATAAGCATATCATACGATTATATGTTTGGAATCACCTCTCTTGGTTAATGTATGCAGGTGAACCAGCACTCACCCTGGTGGTTTTGATCTTGTTCCCAGAGTAGCACATCCAGCCGGAGTTGTCTGGCAGAGTCTTGCATTCCTCTCCCTCCAGACATGGCTCCATCTCACACCACCACTTCCCAATTACTATAGAGGCTGAGAGAGAGAGCTGATAAACACAGAGCCAGGACTTCAGCGCCCCAATATAGAGCATGCTCTTCAGAATTAAAGGAATAGGTAAAGCAAGAATATCATAATAATACTGAACGGAGAGCTACTAGGAGCCAGCTCATATTTCAGTGCACTTAAAAAAAAGAAAATTCCATTGAATCGAACAATCATAATAGAAGCCATCGGCCACCTGCTGCATTCTGAGAATAAATGCTTTAAATATGAGACTATAGCTATATGCAAAAGATAGAACACCCTTGATCAAACAATGTTTTGATCATTTTCTAAGTGAAAATAAGTTAACACATCTTAACAAACTTAAATATGCACAATTTCTATTTATTTTCTGAGCTTAACATCTTGAATAAAACATAAAATATAAGTAAGTAAATATAAAAATAATAAAATATAAGTAAATCAACAGTAATTGTGCATTAGAATGTGCAGAGGTGTTCTCTGCAGATGATGTGTTTTACTTAACATATCATCAGACCAGGGGTGCCTAAACTTTTGCATACAACTGTATATCATGCAAATGCAACAGTACAGCCGTGTCATGCCTCCCTCCAACTTCGCTGCTATTTCTCAGACTCTTATACTCCCAGAATTCAGAGGAGGATCACATGACTCAGAACTCTCAGGCATCAGCCAATCCCAGATCAGCTTTGCCTGATTACTGATTCTCCTCACCTGCGTTTTCCCCCGATATATACTGTTTCTTTGTCCTCACCTCTTGAGTGATGTACTGAGTGATGTTTAACTGCCTGTCCTGTTGTAGTTTTGACCTGATTTGTTCTTTTGACTCTGCTTTGTCTTGTCTGGTTTTTGACTCTGCTTGTGTTTTTTGACCTTTTGCTGGATGTCCCTTCAGGCTTTTGTCCACTCTCTCTTCACCTGTTTAATCAGTGCGAGTTTGACTCTCCCTTTTTCCATTAAAACCTCAAAACTGTTTTTTATCCGTGAGCGTCTGATTTGTTCTGACTCGTTAGGCACTATAAAAATACAGGTCTGAGGATGAGACAGAAATGAGAGAATGTGTTACCAAAGCTGTCCTTATAAAGTTTTGATTGACGAAAAGGGTAAAAGGGGGCTAACAAAGTATGCAGAGAAACAGATGGACTACAGTCTATAACTGTAGAACTACAAAGTGCACCTATATAGTAAGTGGAGCTGATAAGATGGACAATGAGTGTAGAAACAAGGAGGTGTACTTTAGAAGTGGCCAGTCGATGTGTACATATTCATTTACATATTGTTGCTGTTGAAACAAACCTTCATATCGTCAAAAAAGTATCTTTACGAGAAAAAACATTCTTAACTTTTAATGTATGTTAATCTAACAAGATTTTTTCATAATTTTGGACCATTTCTGTTGGTCCATGTCATGAAATTTTCACCCAGTGAAAATGGCAACTGTCACTGGAGATACAAAGTTTTTAGACGCAGGGTCTGGGCGCAAGTTTCCATAACAGATTTCTTGAGTGCAAAGAAGCCACTAACAATAAAGAACCCAGGGAACATGTAATATGGAACAAACTGACATAGAGTACTTAACATCAAGACTCAAGACCAGACAAGGAACACAGCAACTTATACACAAACCGGGAACAAGACACAGTTGGGAAGGATTAGAAAACAAACAAACAAAAACAAAAAACACATGGCAAGAGAAATGAAGGAAAGTACACAAAAAGAGAAACCGTGACAAGGACAAAGCAATACAGGGGACACATTACAGATACACAGTTGTATGCAAAAGTTTGAACACCCCTGGTCAAATAATGTTTTGTTAAATTTTAACCCCTTAACATTCCAGGTTTATTTCATACAAAGGCTTATTATTCAGTAACTACAGAGACTTCAGTGCTAACTAAAGAAGCTATTTAGGTTATAGAAGTGTAATAAAACTTTGGGCCCGCTGGCTTGTTAAAGGGTTAAGTGAAAATAATCTAACACAACCTCAACAAACAAATATAAGATTTTTTCTGCAAATTTTAGTGCACAATTTCTATTGATCTGCTCATAGTTTAAGAATATATACAATATAAAATGTGCCATAACTTTTGTTCAGGTCACATGTTTTGCTTTTGTTTACTGTGTTAAGTTCAGCAAGTAAACGGTAATTGTGCATTTAAATGTGCAGAACCCTGTAAAGGACGTGTAAAATTATTTTCACTTCCAAACCGTAATCTGAACAGGGGCTCCTATTTGTATATGACCATATAAACACATAGACATACACAGTACTGTGTAAAGTCTTAGGCACCTTAGCAAATTATTAAAAACCATTCATCTGGGAAAGTAAGTGAGCTTTTGCCAGTAAAAAATACAATATAATTTTGGAATAAATGCAAACAAACATAAAAAGTGAGCTATTTTTGGAGAGCAAAGTTTTGTTCCAGATTTCTCCTCAATGCCTCCACCCATCACCTGGATTTGTTCAAATCCACCACAAGCACACCTGACTAAACTTCACAAAGCGCTGATTAGGCAAATCAGGTACTAGATGACCCCTACAAATAATACTGGCCTTTCTCAAGGAGACGTTTGAACACACACTGACATACATAACATTACAAGTGATTGTATTAATATTATTTGTATTTATAGTAACATTAGAGTTGTTCTACTTTCTGCTATTAACAGCTTTTTAAATATAATTTTCTCAGGTGCCTAAAACTTTGGCACAGCACTGTACATAACTAACAACATTCGTCTTAGTGAGTTACAGAAAAAGACCAATATTGGCTGCATTTATCTGGTGGTTAGTCTTCTGAAAAGTTGTGTTGCTCTATGGAATGCATGCTGCATTGTGAAAAGGCCTGTATTCAAGCGAAATGCTCCATTTGTTCATTTGAATTCATTTCATCCTGCACCATCAAGAAGTCTAATACCGCTTGCTTATAATTCAGGCCGATTTGCTGCCAATAATAGAGGGAAATTGACATAAATACAGTTTAAGCACATGGTTCATTTCAGGGGCTTGTCAAAAGAGCAGACATTGTAAACCTTGTAAAAAGCTATCAATTTCACTCACTTTGCTCTGTGAAAGTGTGATCGTTTTCAGATGGCGTGGACCGAGGCCATTATATGTAGGGAAAGAGCGCGATCTCGCACAGTGAGAGATGATTTATAAATGATGTGCTCCGAATGCTGAAAGCATTTTTAGCTCTTAACATGCAGACGGTGGGATCGTAACAACAGGATAATAAGGATTTTAACTAAGGTTACAGGCCAACTGCTGTTGTGCTCGAGTCTAAAGTGAGGAATAGTTTTGTCTAGTTTGTAGTTTCACAGCAGTAGTTGTATTATATGTGGTGGAGTCTGGAGGTCTGAGATCACACTGAAAATCGCTATTTATTTCATTTAAACCTGAAAGGTTTTAGAACCTTGACAAACATTGAACAAAGAAAAGTTATGATGATGAAAAAAAGAAGAAATGTTCTAAATTCTGCACTGTTCCTGGATCACAATTCAAATCGAAATAAGTAAAATTAACCATGTTAGGGCCTTTTTTTTGTCTGAAGCTCATATTCAGCTGACTCTCGGGTGGATTAGATCTACTGTTCAGAGGCGATTGCACAAACTTGTAGAGTCATTTTGCTGTCATTACAGCAAAAAGGGGGAATATATTAATTACTAAGAAATTCTAAAATTCATGGAAACATTCAAAGATTCTACTTCAACTCAAATCGTCATGCTGATAATGTCATTTGAAAAATTTTGTATGAAATTAAAACGTAATGCAAAGCAAAAACATTTTCGCCAGCGGTCTTAAACTTTTGGACCCCACTTTATATTTTATAGCAATTCATTATTGGTTTTTCTTTTTTTTTAGTAAAGTTGAACCTGGCCTTTCTAGTTAGACACGGAAACTATTCCTTGCCTTGGACATAGTGTTCTAGGAAAAGCTTTTATTTGGTATAGGACCTTTAAATTACGTGAAGGTTCTTTACTTGTACATCTTATTTCAAAAATAGTTCTTTCTATTGAACCTGGTTCTTCTATAAAAAACCTTTTTGACACCTTCAGCAAAAAAAAGAAAAGGCATTTTTATCCACTGCACATGAGCACTTGAGTCTCTGGCAACAGAAAACTGGAACTGTACTTTCTCCATCAACCAACCTGAATGGTTTTCAAGGGTGAGGTTAGCCACACTGTCCACTGTTGACTGGTTACATACAGGACTGTTTTAAAAGCATTTTTAACAGAACTGTTGTTTAAAAGTCAGAGAAAACAAATCAGTAAAACAATGAAGAGATACAGGTATAATTGCGCTAGTATGTATGTTTGTCACAACAAACAGAATGTAAATTATTTTTTTCATCAGCTGAATTGAAGAAATAAGGGCAATATCATGTTTAGACAGAACAACTGTGTAGATTTTTTATTTGAGCTGGAGCTGCGTCTGTCGTCAGTAGGGGTGTCACAACACACTATCAAATAAAGTTTGATTTTATGCTATTTAATATGCAACACCGGGAATGGTTTCTATATTTATCTCTATTTAATACAAAAAGTGACAAATATAAACATGAAAAACATAAACATGACCTGCAAGTGGACAGGACAAGCTTCAGCTGGAACAAGAAAATCAACCTGGTATGTATTTCTTGTTTGGGACAACTTTGGTTACCCAGTCGAGTGCAATAATGATGGGCAAAGTGTGTAAGACTGGACCGTGACAGTATGCTGACATTGCTCAACGCGAGTATCAAATACCTGTGCTAATACCTCAAATATGCTAACTTTTTATGAAGTCACCACTCAAACGTATCACTTCTTACACAGGATTCGAGGATCCGACGAGCGAAGATTCTAAACGAGTGAAACAAATAACTCGCTCCACAGGGATGTTTAGAGATGGTGGTTTGTGCCACTACTTGGTTGCAGAGTCCTGGATTCTGAAGTTTGTTAGGAGAGACTAAGGCATGTTAGAAAAATCCCAACTCATTTCAGTCAGAAGGTAAGAGCCATACTCTCTA